ATATATATATATATATATATATATATATATATATATATATATATATATATATATATATATATATATATATATACACGTATAATATCCATCTTTGGACAATAGCAGCCGGCCGGGAACATTGTCACTATGTAATATCTCATTTTTATATTATTTTCTGTCTTTCGTCGTCTATTATACGTTAGATATCATAAAATTACTTTATGAACAGTTAAATTCTCGAATTCAGCAAATATCTCAGAGAAGGGGAGCGGATCAATTGGAACAGTATCCTTATTTTGTACTGGGATTTAACTCCCCGAGATGAATTGCGTGATATTTACAAGGACTATAGAAAAGCGACTAGGACCTCAAATATAAAATTTTAGCTTCGACCAGTTTTTGAGATATTGGAGAATTAATGAAAATACATCAAATTCTGCATATTACAATATTATAAACATGTATATGTATAAACTAATGTACTATTAAAAATATGAGAAATCCTGACATTTCGTCGTTTAATATTAATGATCAGTTTAATAGAATGGTGGAAAAAGTTGTACAGCAATATAACAAATAATTAAAATTGTATATTCAAAAGAGTTGCGGTTCATTCAAATCGTTCGAGAGCTCGTCTTGTTTTATTCGTCCAGGTTCGCCTATCGATCACCGTTCTTTGTCATAAGACTGCAGTCTTACCTCTTCTGGTAATCCTCGGTGTTTATATTTATGTTTATACTTCTTCTATTACGTGGATTCTATGTACATATTAACCGAAAATCTTGACTGCAAGTTTTAAAATATCATTGAAAAAAGATAAAATTTAAATTTTCTATGGTGGATTTCCACTCATAAAAAAAATTCTCAATATTTTTAAAAACTTTTGAATTTTTACAAATTTTGAGAATAAAAGTATTTTTAATTTCTTATTTGTTACATAACGTAAAAATATCTTTAAGAAGAAAACAAAGGTTCAGCGTTATCAAAGCAAAAGCTTTATATTTTAAAAAGAATTCAAATAACCATAATTTTTTTCATAAAGTTATATAAGACTTATACTTTCAATTATTTTAAAAATTTGCTCAAATTACTTAGGTGTGACTATTTGATATTCCGGAATTGGATCTGATCGGATTGTGCGAATACCCAAGACAATACAAGACTCACGTAGGCTATTTCTCTACTTTCATTATTTCATGGTCGGAACCGATCGATGGAACAATGACAAAAATGTGGCAATGTCATATCCTTAGATTTCATAGCTATGCTTTCGTCAAGAAATCCTAAATTATTTTATTATTAACTATTAACTATTCTTTTAATTCATTTATCATTTGTCATTCTGTTCAATAATAACAATAACAATCACGATGAAGGCAATCGGATCAAAAATGAGAATGAGCAGTACTCAATGACAATATATCATTTTGAATTCGTATAAAATTTCAATAAAATATGTTAAAATATTCATTATGTCATTAAATGTCATTAAATTCTTGAGAAAATTGTAAAGAAATTTCGTAGTATATTACAGAAACGTGGTAGAGGCATAAACACGGGTGTGGAGGACTATGATTACTGAAAGAAATAAGGTTTACTGTTTTATGTCAAACAAAACAATAATCAGCAGGATAGACTGAAAGAGAAATTCGATACGAACTCACGAACGATTGGACGAACCGCAATTCCTTCGAATATATACGTCAATTATACAATTTAGTTTACAAAATTATTCTACAAATCCATATTTTATATCTAATTCTTGCACAGTGAATGCCAGATTATTGTGTTCGCTTAATTGTAATAAATATCTGTGATTGTTTAACGTGAAATTTAACCTCCTTAATAAATGTTTTGTTTCAAAAAAAATTCTCTATATTAAATGATTGGAATGAAATTGTAGTGATTAAATTTTAATTTTTATGCTCCATAAAAAAATTGACAAAAATATTAAATTTTCATCACTTTCACTTTAAAATGCTGTAAAAATGACTTTAAAAACAATTCTTTCCTTTTTCAACAAATGCTTTAAAATAATGCAAAAGTGATTAATAACTCACACAAGTTGTTGATGCGACTTTAAATAATGAAAAAAAAAGATAGTACAATTTTATCTCGAACATTTTCTTTGTATAAACAAAAATAGCAGATATATATTCATTTAAAAGCCGTACCCTCCATAAAATTTGAAGCGTCTCAAGAAACATTGATCTTTTTTTGACATTTTCTTTTTGAACCTACTATTTTTTCCACAATAGCATGTAGAAAAAATTCAATCGAAGAAAATATAATTATAGAGATCTTTTAAAGAGCAATGCTTTTGTGCGCTTTTTAAAAAATGTTTTATTACTAAATTTTCATTTACTTATTATGATTACTGTATGTACATACATATGTATGTTTGTTCGTTTCTGGATTCAGTGTCACTGAATTCAATTCAATAAATAATTTTCGATGAGGAAACGGCAACACTGTCCATATTGTTTTATTTTAATTTCTATCACCAACAGTGTAGGCATGTGACGCGAGAATGGTAAGGGGAACGTATGACACAAAACGTGGGACACAAAAATAAAAATGGTTTTGCGAATAGTTCGCCAGTTTGACAAAAATTTTTGACCACCTTTGTGTATGTATTTCGTGATGGACAATTATGATTAGGAAATTTGTATATTCGGACTGCTTTTCTCAAACACTACTCACTTTTACTACAGAGAATATCATACCGATCTTTTCTTCTGTTGAATATTTCATTATGAATTTCTGACAAATTTCGATACACTGCTCAGAATTGTTAGAAGAACCACTAGAAGAAATTATCATTGATGATGTAATAAATAATAAACATCTTTATTTACAGTTGTTATAAAGCTCTCGACTATCGTGTGTTGGCTAAAGTCTGTGATTCTGATAGAAGTAAAATTTATATGTAAAATTCAAATTTCCAAAGTTACATATCTGAATCTATTTTCTCGCCAGCAACATGATGCAATAAAAAAAATATATATAGTTATATCAGAAAAAACACCAATGACCTTCAAAAAAATATTCTTAGTTAAAAGAATTCTAAGTTATTTTAAAGATATTCTCAGTTATTTGTCTTTCGGATACCATTCATATTAGACAAAAAATATTTTCTATATCATCACAATTCGAAAAATTATTTAGCCTCATTTAAATGGACTACCTCGTATACAATTTTACAATTGCTGTAATGAATTAGATTTTAGAACGACGTAATTTGTCATAGGATGCCTCATTGTGCATGGTTGAATATTCATTAAAAGTTTTCACTTTGCAACTGATTTTGTGAGAATGTCATTTGAAAAATAAGGTGAAAATTGAAGTGAGATATAAAAATAAAATTACCCAGCCACACAGGTGGTGTAGTAAAACCCATGATGTTGTAGTAGATGCAATGTAATCGGCATAATTCTGTACACGGTAATAATGGAGAACAATGCAAGACTTGCATTCCACAATACAAGCACGCGCCTTAGATTGTATTTTGGTCTATTTGACATGTAATGCTTCCCACCAAAAATTAGGATTGCATAAAGAGCACAATACAAAAAACAGTATGGAAAATGGTCCTTCATCCATATTTGTGACTGCTTGTAATCGAAGTTTTCTTCGAAGCTGAAGGGATGCGTGTAATTCGATGTAGTGAAAGGCATATAATCATATAATTCATTCATTGTCAATATGTCCTTCATCTATTCGTTGACCGTGAAAATTTAAAGAAAGAACGAGGCTTTTGCTAAATCTGCTGAAAAGATAGAAAGATATTTATTGAATTTACATTTTAGAAGCTGAGTATTATTAATGTTAACATTAATAATACTCAGCTAACATTGTATATAATAACAATTATAATTAGAAATCTAAAATAATAATTATTTGAAACATTTTTTCAAAGGAAGTCATTGAGAAAAGAATTATTTTTTTCTATCAATGAATTTCTTTTTGTTATCAATAAATAAATATAAAAAAAAATTTCTAAAAGATATGAAATTATATAAGAACAAAATTCTTTTTTGTTATCAGTATCTATTGTCAGAACATTTATAAATAGTGATCAGTATATCTAAATAGCCGGAATGTTTTTTTGATTATTAATAGTCATCATCGATGACCTGAATTTTATTTTAATTATCGATAACTATTATTGACGACAAAATATCTTTTATTTCTGTTCGAGTAATGTCAATCGTTATCAATAATTATTAATAATTAGTACTCATCGATAACATTAAAAAATATGATATATACATATGTAATTGTTGTACTTCTAACATTAAAGAAGTGATATATGTGTAACTCTTGCACTTTCATTACCTAGTCACGATACTTTTACATGTCTCATTCACAGTTTCACAATTTTAACATAAGTTTCGTTCAGAATTACACGTTGGAATGATATAATTAAACGATATACTAAATTACAATAAAAGTATTTATTGCATAAACTGGTAATACGACAGATGTTTCGGTGATGAGTATCAAGCTAATATAATATACGCAAATATTAATAAGTGGAATAGTAGTACAATATTTTTATTAACACTTGTATATGTTATATATACAGGGTGTTTCGTCTAAGTACAGTGAAATATCTCGGAATGGGTTGAAGCTACGAAAAAAATGTTTATACAAAAGCTGTTCGGTTTATAAAAAGGTGTCTTACGTAGTATTAACAATTTTTTTCATTCATATAATAGCGGAGGAACTTTCAAGGCCAACTTAATTTTTTTAAATTAGGCCATACATTTTTTTATTCATATTACGACAGTTGGTTTCAATACCTTGAAATATCCTCCACTATTATATGAATGAAAAAATTGTTAATACTTTTTATATTGAATAGCTTTTGTATAAATGTTATTTCCGTAGCTTCACATTTCGAGATATTTCACTGTACTCAGTGAAGGTGTACGAAACACCCTGTATAATGTCTCCAATTTAGCTGAAAATGTCCAAGTATCTGCAGAAATACAAATTATACTAAAACATTTCGAACCAAAACTTTACGGTAGTATAACAGTAATAATAAACTATACGTGAGTATTTGTTTGAATGTAAGTTGTTGAAAGAACATTTTAGAATAGTATTTTAAACTAGATTTTCCAACAAGACAATAATCTGAAATATTCTGCCATATACTCCACGCCAATGATTGGTTTATAACATTCCCACGCAATCATTGACTCCCGTCGCATATGGTACAAACTTCAAAGAAAAAAAAAAATATACAAATTGGTCTAATATACAAATCGACGTGGTTAAAATTTTTTTTGTGTTTTCAGTGCTTAATGAATTTTACGAAATAATTTAGTAGAAATGGTTTTCTACTGTACAAAATTTTGTATGACTATTTTTATCTCGGCAATTGTTTACGTTCATGTAAATTTTGATTCATTATGAAGAGTAAGATAATGTATTTAATTTTGCTTTTGTACATTTGTTACTGTTATATGTAATATATAGATATTTGAATATCTGTATATTTAATAACAGCAAAATACTGCTTCTATTATTTCTACGTTGCAAATGTACAAGTATATTTGTTCCTTGCTGTATCTCGCGTGATTTGCACACGATATGCAACGAAATGTTCATGCCAAACTGTTCAAAATTCTTGAAACTCATAAATAAATTTCCGTGCATTTATAGATTATTGAAAAATGTAGAAAACGTTTAGCATGTACATAATATGAAAAAATATATAAACTATTTAAAATTTATTACCATATTCACCTATATTACAGTAATAGATGATAAAGCGAATTTATATCTAGATTCCACTGTTTTCATAGAAATTTAAAATACCTCTCCCGCATATACATTTCGTTTCAGTTAGCTTGACAGCGCGATCTTATTCTCTTCAGATTTGTTAAACTTTTTTTTTCAACTCGCTACAGTTACGTTGCAAAATTAGAAATGCGTATCTGAAATGAAGCATCGAATGAATAATTCTTGCAGTAAAATGCATTGCCTATTTAAGAGATTTGAAAACAACAATAGGCATTTTTGTTCCATAAATATTGTTCTAGCGATGTATTCTGTTATCAAATATATCAATAATATATGTTATTATACATATGTAACATTTTATAAAAAACAATGTATTAAACTGATACAAGGAATGGATAGTTAAAATTAGTTTAAAGTTAATACATTTAATATTAACGACAATGAAAAATGAGTTATAAAAAATTTACTATTATTGGTTTAGTTATATCGTTGTATTTACGCTGCAATATGCTAAACATAAGATCAATGTTAACTTCGGCCGAAAGAGTAATTCTATCAAACGTTACCCGGGTCATAACTAACTCAGAATTTGAAAAAATTTTCAAAAGAAACAACGTCAAGCTATGCTCCAGAATAACAACCCTGAAAGCAAGAATAACCGACCCGGAATACGCCCAAATACTCAGTTCCAGAAGACAGGCATACATTGACCCCGATGATACTGGAAAAATTCTATCCACCTTCCTAATAACTTTTGAAGATACATCTTACCGTATTTTCACCTCTATCGACAGCTTCTATTCTCTGCTTCTAATATAAACAAGAAGGTCACTTAGCGAAAGATTGCCCGCTAACCCAAAATTCAAACATAACCGATACGACAATCCCAAATACAAATTCAACGATTCTCAAACCAACTCAATTCTCCAAACTACCGGTAAAGAAGAAACCCACCACTACCGAGACAAACATCGACAATCCTAAACAAGCAACGAATAAATTACCTAGCACACAGCATTACCCATTACAGAGCAACCACCAATCCTTCTTACTTCTAAAAGACCACTGTCACAATCATCAGCTGACGACAAACCGGATTATGTTAGCTTAAACGACATAGTCTCCATGCCTCCACCAATCACCAATCAATCCACATAAAAAAAAAAAAAATTGCAACAATCAAACTAAAACCACTTCCTCCCCAATCTCCAGTTTTCGATTCCGCCAAACTAGAGGAAATGTTCGCCCTAGTAAAAGAAATAATAAATAAAAAAAATCCTTCACACTCCCAGCTAAACTATCCTCAGATCAAGAGCCTCCTCCAAGACACCTTTGGATCAGCACACCCATTGGAAATCGCAGAAAACTACACCGATAACATTCCGACACTTGTTCAAAATCTTGAAGAAATCTACACTCATCTAAACGAAAGAAGCAAAAAAA